GGGCCCGGGAGCCGGGGGCTGAGGGCGGCGTGGGGGTAACGGCTAAGCGGTCCTTTGGAGATGAGAGGGGTGAGGTGCTGAGGAAGGGGCGTGGGGCTGGAAGGGGTGTGTGGTAGCAGGAAGGCTGGAGAGCGAGGGGTGGGGCTTGGAGGCGGTGAGCTTGGAAGAATGGGAAGGGGGGGTGGCCTCGGTCCACCCCAACCGCAGAGGAGGGGAGCAGGAGCTGGGGAAAGGAGGGGACTGTGGCCCTGGCTTCTGGTCAGGAGTGGGGAGGAGGCGCTGGGTAGGAGCGGGGTCTGGCGGCTGGAAGTGGAAGAACCACGAGAGCAGTAGGAGAGTTTAAGGTGGGGGGCACGTTAGGGAGAAGGCCAGGTGTGGGTTGTGGCGTGAGAGCGGAGTGGAGGTCAGGGCTAGCTGTTTCTTGGCTCCTCAGAAGACTGAAGAGGGGAAGCAAGCGCTGGACCTGGTTACTGCATCGGGGATCACAGACAAGAAGAGAATCATGGACAGCAAAATTCAGCCACAGGCTGGTTCTGTTCTAGAGTCCAGGCATGGGAAGGAATTTGGAAGAGGCAGTGTGGCAGCCTCTGCAAGCTAATAAAATTGTGGAAGAGGGTGGGCTTCTCCATCCCAGCTTCTCAGAATACAGACAGAAAGGGTAAAATGCAGACAGCAAAAGGAGTGTGTGTGTGTGTGTGTGTGTGTGTTCAGATGCACATGGGTGAATGCACACCTGTACCTACAACAGAAGTCAAGAAAGGCCCTATTTGTGGTAAGGGAAAGCCCTAGTATAGTGAAAACCAGAGCAGAGGCATTTTGGGAAGACGGGGTGGCGGAGTGTTGGTTAGGGAAGCCTCTTGGTCATAAAGGATTTAGTTAACAGTGGAGGAAAGTGTGTTCCTGTTGGGGGCAATATAGAAATACACAAAAGTCTAAAATGATCTCCAGTCCTAGAAATAAATCTCCAGTTTCTTTTTTTGTTTTGTTTTGTTTTTTGTTTTTTGTTTTTTTGGTACTGAGAATTGAACTCAGGACCTTGTGCTTGCAAGCCAGGTGCAGTGCCATTGAGCTAAATCCCTGGCCCAAATTTCCAGTTTCTTAAAGTCTGTAATTTGAAGGGAGACTTGAGTAACTGAGAAATTTAAAACTCACTAGGGTTCCTCTCAGTACCACACAGAACCTAGCACATACCGAAGTAGGTGCTCCACATGTTGACTTAATGAATAATTGAGCAGTGGTTGTCCTCTTGCCTCAATTTCTTCATCTACCCTGAAACTGTGAGAGTAAAATAGGATTATGTGGGTGAAAAGACATTTGTAAACTGTAAAGCACTGTACAAAAGAGGCCACCGATATTCTTAGGTAGATGTACCTCCATTCTGTCAGTAGTCACAGCTGTTGCTCTCTCTTTCCAATCTGGAGAAGAAAGGAAATGAACATTTGTCAAGCATCTGGGTATTGTGTGCAAGATAGAATGCCTGCAAGTAACAAGTAGAATGCTTGGCATTTAGTAGGTGCTCAGTGAATGGCAGCTGTTATGATACTATTTCTGTGACTCTAAGAGAGGTAGGAAAACAGTGAAGATACGGGTTAGGCTGGGCTAGTGCTGATGGGTTAGCAGTGGAGAATAGTCTAAAGAAAGACTAAATTTAAAAGGTTAGTAAAATATGACTTTGGGGAAGAAAGGGATACACAGCAGAGTGAGGTCCACATTTGCCCAGCTCCCCATTCATCCCCACTGATAAATGTTCCCTGGAGGAAGACCAGGAATTACATTTATTGACCACTTGCTGTGCTCCACATACTATGCTAAATGTATTGCCCATCCACATTACTTATAATCATCCCAACAATTGTTTCCAAAGGAAGAAGTTGTGTCTTAGTCATGTAAATTGTTTTTGTTCAGGCTTCACACCTAATTAATGATAAAGCTGAAAACCAAATCTCCATTCAGTTTGTTTTGGAACTCCACAACTATTTTCATTACTCGAGATGACTTGCTAGAAGAAAACATGAAGCATAGGGAACAAATTCTTTTTTTAAAAGTTTGTAAAACATCTCTCATATACTGGTTTTACTAGGAAACCATTTTATTGATTTATTTTTAAAATTAAAAAAAGGATTTTTTGAGACAATTCTCACCATATAGTTCAGGCTGGTCTTGAATTTGCTGTGTAGCCCAGGCTGGCCTTAAACTTGCAAAAACCTCCTCCCAAGTGCTGGGATTACAGGTGTGTAATTGCACAGTTTAATGGTTTATTTTATAAATTAGGAAACTGAGGCCTTCTAAGATTATACAACTACTGAGAAATTTAGGGTTCAACCTGTGTCTCTTACACTTAGTCTTATGCTTAGTCTTTTGACTGTATCAGCAGAGAACTATATCTGGTCCCTTCCCTACACTTAGTAAGTAGTGATTTCTTTTTTATTGGGTTTTAGGGTTCTTCTCTCCTCTTTCCTCTTTTTCCTGATTAAAATTGGTTTTTCCTAAGGTGCTTATTTTTGAGGAGCCATTTCTTTCCCTTCCCATCCTGGGACTAGGGATGACCTTCCAAATGGTTCCTGGGCCTTCATCTGTATTGCTCATCTGGAGACAGTGAGCCACCCAGCTTTATCATTTTATGTGACTGTCACAAAAGAGAGGGATGATTTGACGGATGCTTATCTTACAAATGCACACCACTGTGCAGCGACCTGTCTGCTCAGATCTGCCTCAGGCAGTTGCCTGCTGGGATGATTTTTGCCTCTCTTCCAAATGTCTGTGTGCCCCTGCCCTCCTCCTGAGAAGACTCCCTTGGCGGCTTTCATTAGAGCCCTACTAGTCTCTCTTTCCTGGTTCTCGCACAACCCACTGGGAGAGCTGTGTTGCAAGCACAAAATCAGATGTTGATGGTATAGTATGGCAAGTACAGTATGGTAACTAAGCTTCACAGTGTTGGAAATGCTTTAACTCATGCTAAAATTGCTATGGCTTTTATTTTCTGTCAGCCCAGTTGAATCTGGGAGACATTAAGCAGCAGAAATTCTGATCATGAACTACTTGCCATGTGACCTTGGACAAATCACAAAGCCCCAATGTGTTTTACCTCTAAAGTGACAGGTAAACTTGGGTAGGCAGATTAGATCAGGAATTGAAACTATCTTATAGTCTTTTCTTTCTTGCTTGCTTGCTTTCTTCTCTCTCTCTCTCTGTCTTTCCTTCCTCTTTTTTCCAGTACCAGAAACCAAACTCAGGACCTTGTGCTTGCAAGGCAGGCTCAGTTCCAGTGAGCTAAATCCCCAGCCTTTTGTCCTGTACTCTTGCCATCTCTTCCCACTCTCACACCTGTGGTAGGAATAGCTAATAAAGGAAGGTAAATCTCCCACTGATCCTGCATGAGGCCATATGTATTTTTCTCAACACAGTGTATGAAGCACCCTTTTATTTAAAAACCCCAGCAGCCTTGTGAAGTAGTATTACTATCAGATAAGGACATTAAGTCTGAGAGTATTAGTGACCTGCCAAACTTTATATATTGAGATAATGAGAAAACTGGGACCAGTAGCCAGGCTTTTTGTTATGATAAAGCTGCTACTCTAAGATCTTTCCACGTTGAGCAATGTAAGAGTGTAGAGCTGGCTGCATTGAAAAGGAAAACCAGTAATGTGACATTTATATTTAGTAGTCTGGCACATGCTCAATAAATGTTTATTGAAAGAAGGAAAATCCCCTAAGGATTTACTATATGTCTAGTGTTGACTAGATGGAGAAAATACCCTGAATATAGAGAGGCAGGAAGGTATAGTAGTTCTGTTGCAGGATCAAAGAGACAGGAGAGACCAAAGGGAATTAGGAGGACTTTATTTTAGGTGAACACTGGCTCAGTAGATTTCTGTCCAACGGCAAAGTGTTGAACAAAGAAAAATTCCAGTTTTTATACATTTGGTTGAAGGGGGTGATCTTTTTAGTGATGTAGCAAGTGAGTTTGCCAGAACAGGACAAGAACAGTTTTGTAATTTAGCCTTGTAAGAAGACAGTATCTTATGAATCATATGAGAACAGAGTGTCTCTGTTTACAGGACATAATTGTTAATTTTATCAGAATAAGGAGTTACAGCTACAAGGGAGAGAGGGGTGATCTGGGTGGGAGGAACTGCAAGGCTAGGAAGAACTTGTTTTTCTTTAAATTCTGCTTTACTTTATTGTATTACCGCACCAAATAATGGAGCTCAGGTGAGTGAAAGGGCAGATGAACAAGATTTGACTGGAACAGTGAATTAAAGGGGTCAGTGAAGTAATAATATTGAGTATCTTCTATAGGCCAAGAAAGATTGTTTACATATAGTGCTGCTTATTCTATTTGTACTATAGCTCCATTAAATAGGCAGCATTTTCTCTACTTTAAGGTAACAATGCTGTAGCTTAGATAGTTGATCTGACTTGCTGAAATATTCTGCTGATAGGTATAGCAACAATTAATTTATTTATTGGTACTGGGGACTGAACCTAGGACCTCATGCATGCAGGCAAATACTATACTACTCATCCTGTTATTTTGAATCATGATCTCCTTAAGTTGCCCAGGCAGGCCCTAAACTTGTGAGCCTCATGTCTCCTCCTGAGTAACTAGGATTACAGGTGTATGTGACTTTAACCAGCCTGTCTGTTATCTATCTATCTATCTATCTATCTATCTATCTATCTATCTATCTATCTTTTAATCTATCTTCAGGTTTTTGAGATGAGGTCTTGCCATGTAGTCCAGGCTGGCCTTGAACTCAGCAGTCATCTTGCTGGGATTTCAGGTATATGCCACCACATCAGGCTATCTCACCCAGCTTAGAACAATGATTTTAAACTTTCCCATAACCATGCAGGGTACTAAGACTAGATTGATGGTTAGCTATAATGTTTGGGTAAATCTTAATTCAAATGGGATTAATAAATCCTATCCTTCCAACTTTACTTCCCAGGTTTATTTAGAAAGTAAAATAAGATAAAATATGTACAAGAAATTGAGATGAGAATCAAATCTGGGCTAAAGTTCTCTTTGACCAGAAATTCTATTTCTTGGATATCTTTCAAGAAAATAATTAGGAAAGCAAAATAATTAGGAGTAATTAGGAAAGATTCATGCAAAGAAAGGTTCACTGCTATTTAGTGCATAATAATTATCAATGGAAAAACAAATTAAAAACTGCTTTAAATTAAAAACTACTCTTCCAAAAGATTGGTTATCTGGCATATCCATAGGATGAAATATTATGATATAAATATCACTGAAATGACATTTATGGAAAGTTTTTAAAGTCTCAATACTTTTAGAATTTAATACTTTAGCTGCATGATAACAACATGCATTCTAATAGTCTACACCTTTTGTGCATATGATGTCAGCTATTAAAATATGCTTTGAAAATATAGACTAGCATGTATGGTGTGGGGTCTTTTATATATAAGTAAAGGTATAAAGAGACTCCTATGCTTCTATATATAAATATTACCTCTAAAGTAGTAATTAGTTACTTAAATTAGTAACATTTGCTTCTAGGAAGGGGACTAGAGATTGGGAACCCAGGATTTACTTTTTAGTATAAACCTTTAGCTTCCATATCATTTATTTTTTTAGGCCAAAAAGTGAGAAAATCGGGCTGGGGATTTAGCTCAGTAATGCCACTGCCTGCCTCACAAGCACAAGGTCCCAAGTTTGATCCCTAGTAACAAAAAAAGTAAGAAAACAATGCAAATTACATACAGTGAAAAATTAATACAAATAGTAAACCTTAGGAATTGTTTTTAGTAAGTTGTATTAACTCTTAAATGAGCAAATAAATTATAATTTAAAAGCAGAAGGCATTTTTTGTATGCAATTATATTGAAAGAAATATACTAAAATGTTAGCAGTAGTCATTTCTGAATGAGTAGACTGTCAGGTAATTTCAAGTGTGTGTGTATTTTTTTTACACTTTTGTATAAATTTCAGAGCTTTTTTGAGTATATACTTTCATAGGGGAAATGTTCTATTACCAAAAAAAAAAAAAAAAAGATGACTGGCAACAGAATGGAATTTTGTGTGAGGTCATTGTGGTGCCTTCCTTGTTTTAGGTAAAAAAAAAAAAAAAACCAAAACATGGTTCTTTTGAATTGCCAATTTGTGTGTGTGTGTGTGTGTGTGTGTTAGGTACTAGGAATTGAACCTAGGGCCTCTGCACTGAGCTATATTCCTACTCTTTGATATTTTTTCTTTTGAGACAGGGTCTCACTAAGTTACCCAGGCTGGACTCAAACTTGTGATCCTCCTGCTTCAGCCTCTCAAGCTGCTGGGATTGTAGTTGTACACCACCACACTCAGCCAATTGCCAATTCTTGAAATAGGCTTTGCATCTTATACCAGGATAAACTGAGAAATGAAAGCTGTGAGACAGTTTGAGCAGCCAATGGCACCTGCCCAACCATCCTCATTTTCTTTCTCCATGTAAATACTTTTCCTGAGTCTCTGAGAGTCCTGAGTATGTTCCATACCTGCCCAGTATGCCATGTCATGGGCAGATTGATATAAGAATGAAGTTGAAGGTCTTAGATGAAGGCTTGAGAGCTAGTAGCAAAGAGCAGGAAGAACAGAGGACCTACAAGGCTGATAGTGACATGTTCAAAGAAGTTTTATTAAAAGACTGCTATTAATCCTAATTATTTGTCTGATTTTTCTTCAAGAGAGCTTTAAACCCTCTACACTCATTCACTTCTTGTCCTTAAAGCTCATCCGAGAGGCCCAGAGAGCCAATCCAGCAGTTTTAGTCCCTTTTTCTTTGAAAGGAAAAACCAGGAATTCCCAAAGAGATTAACAACTTGAACATTACTTCACATTAGGGTGACCTCCCACCCTCCTCTGACCACTTACCCAATACATTTTATTTATTTATTTATTTATTTGGTACCGGGGATTGAACTTGGGTCCTTGTGCTTGCAAGGCAGGCCACCGAACCACTGAGCTAAATCCCCAGCCCCCCAGTACATTTAAATATCTAGTATTGAGCAAGAGGAGAGACTAAAGATGGAGATGCACAATACTTGAGGCTTCCATGATGTAAAAGAAACAATTAAAATCTCAAATGAGGTCATAGGACCAAGTGATAGATTACGGGGTTCAGATTCAAACTGTTCTAGGACAAGAAAGGATGGTTGTAGCCTTGGTACATAACAAGTATTTGCTGAATCAGTGAACAAACACATAAATAAAAGATGAAGCCTTTGAAGAATGGGTCTATAGGGACTTAAGTTCACACCTCTGTGGAATTTACCAGTTTATAAGGATCTCAGTCATCACGATCTCATACAAGTCCTGTAATAGATGGGGTGATTTGGGGCCCAGAAAGATGAAGTGATTTTCATTAAATCAGTATACATTTACTGAGTGCTTTTATGCTCCATGATTTGTGCTAGAAATCAGGCATGCAGAAACAGAATACATTAAGTCCCAGATGCTCTATCTGAAACAGGAGCCAGAATAGTAAATAGTTTGGAAATGACATAAGTGCCATTAAATTGTTCTTGAGGTATAGGAGCAGGAGTGCATGCTTTTGACGTGCACAGAGAAAATGACAGTTGGCTGGGACCTACAAGGATGAACAGAGGTTTGTTATGGGTAAATGAGCATTCTGGGAAAAATAAATATATATGTAAATGGACAAAGGCAAAAAATACTGTGGCATATTTGAAGTAAAGTATAACCATATAAAGGTACAGGTTGGTGGGGAGAAGGATTAAAGGGGAAAAGCTTAGAAAGTTGATTCTTTGGTTAGTTTTTCCTTGGAAATCTGCAAAGTTTGGGTTTCACCTTTATAGCAGTGGGGAGCTATAAAAGTTTTTAAAACAGAATGATAGCTCCACAGTCAGCCCTGTCTCTTATAGTACATTGCTTCTTGGTTACCATGTTCCCAGGCTATGTTAGAAGCTTCCTGTGGACTTCCTCAGCCAGGGCTTCCCTGTCTTCTCACTGACATACTGCTTTGTTATTTGTATTTCCCTAGTCTTTTATTCTAGCTTGTGGCCACCCAGAGATTGGACATCATGTCTGATTCATGTTTGTAGTCCCCTCTGCCCAGAATAGGGCTCAGCCCAGACCATTGTGCTCAGTCAATATTTGCTGAAGGAATAAATGGGAGGAGTTGGGTTCCACCCTAATTCTGAGACAACATCTGAGGCAGGTGCAGTGATGAGGTGTTTCCAAGTAGTGTGTATTTCCTCTGTGATGCTGGACTGAGTACCATTAGAAGGGCAGGGACTCATAGGCACAGTGGAGGTGTGTTCATGAGTGACCACAAGTCTTTCTTGCAGATGGCTTCAGTGACTGGTAGTAAAACTGGAGTCAAAGATGCCTCTGACCAGAATTTTGACTATATGTTCAAACTGCTCATCATTGGCAACAGCAGTGTTGGCAAGACTTCCTTCCTTTTCCGCTATGCTGATGACACTTTCACCCCAGCCTTCGTCAGTACTGTGGGCATTGACTTCAAGGTGAAGACAGTCTACCGTCAGGAGAAGCGAGTGAAGCTGCAGATCTGGGTGAGTCCTGGGTCTCTCTGGCAGAATTGTACAGAGAGATAACTAATCTGAATACAAGAGCTGGTTTGAACTTTTAGGTCTGATAGAATTAAGCATTAATGCTGTTGCAGATCTGGCCCCTGGGCTGCCCCATGCTGGTTTTACCTAGGTTGGCTTTCTTGGGCGGAGAAGGGTTCAGCTGCTCTGTCTTCTGAGCTGTCTAAGAAGCTCTATCATGGCTTGTGTAAATAAGCAGCAAAGAAACTGGGCGTTGGAGTTAAGAGAGTTGGATTCAATACTTCTACCACTTACTAGCCATGGAAACTTGACTGATAAACTCTCTGAGCCATCCTTTCTAAGGGGATTATTATAGCTTCTACATCATAAGGCTTTTGGGTGCTTAGTATTGTTCCTGGAACATAGGAAGTACACAATAAATGTATCAGTAATTGATTATTGCATAACAAATTACTTAAAAACTTGGTGATGTGAAATAACAACAATAGCTTATTATCTTACAGTTTTGGGGGTCTAACATTTGGAAGTGGCTTAGAGCCTCTCACAAAGAGTAGCAGGTATAGAGTTGACTGGGACTGGAGGATCTACTTCCAAGGTACTAACATCCTCAGCCCTTCTTAATTTTTTAAATCTTGAGACATGGTCTTGCTAAATTGCTGAGTTATTCAGGATGGGCTTGAACTTGCATTCCTCCTATCTCAATTTCCCAGAATGCTGGAATTATACACATGCACCACCATGCCTGGTTTACATATACATATTTTAGATGATATAGCAATATGTAGATAATATACTTATAAATCAATGAGCACTGGGATTGGAAATTTTGAAAATTTGTATAAGTAGAAAAAATGTATTATTTTAGCTAGGAGTGATGGCTCACATCTGTAATCCCAGCACTCTGGGAGGCTGAGGCAATAGGAACACAAGTTTAATCCCAGCCTGGGAAATTAAGTAACTTAGTAAGGCCCTGTCTCAAAATTAAAAATAAAGCAAGAGGTGGAGATGCAGCTCAGTGCCAAGGCCCTGGATTTAATCCCCAATACCACATACACAAAAAAGTATTATTTAGTATCTGTCCATTATACTTATTAATATATTATACATTTCTTATTGAGGCAGTCTGTATATAGTACTTTTTAGAAATTATTTTCCATACATTAATATTACCTCACAACATCATGAGGTAGATACTATTTGACTATAGAACAAAAAACCTCAGAAATTAACTTGCCTTAGGTCAATCACACAGCTATCAAGTGAGATTTGAACTCAGATCTTTTAATGCTAAATTAGAATTCTCTGAGTGCAACTGAGTCTTATAGAGCTTGTATTTCTGTTTATGATCATATAAATGTCAGTTTTGTTCTTTACTCATTATTAAAGTCACCAAGAAATCATAAATCATCAGAAATGGAGAAATAATCCATGTCATCTAGTTCATTGTTTCTCAAATTAACATTCTTGAGACCAACTATATCAGCAACACTTGGGGTTTTATTAGAAATTCAAGCCCTTAAAACTCATTTTAGGCCTTTTGAATCTGAAACACTGGGCTGAGGCCCAGCGACTTTTGGTATAAGAAGTCTTTGAGGTGGTTATAAGGCCATGGAGAACCAATGATTGAGTCTATACACATTTATTGTAGTTGGGTTTTTCTGTGTTGGGGATCAAACATAGAGCCTCATACGTGCTAGGTAAATACTCCACCACTGAGCTACACCCCCAACAACAAGCATTTGTTAAAAAAAAAAAAAACTCCTATTATGTGCCAGGTGCTTTCACTTGTGCTATCATCCTGTGCAGACGCACAGAGGTGTGAGAACACAGAATATGTAGGGCATGGTGAGCAACACAGGGAAACTAGATCAAGGCTGTGAAAAAGCAGAGGGTGGGTGCAGAGAGAGAAGTGTGCTGAGAGGATACAGGTGGCCAATCAGGGGTCAGGGAGACACTGAATAACATATAGAAGGTTCTTGCATTGGACAGAGGGCACATGTCTTATGTCTCCTTAGGGAGTTGCCAAAATTATTAGAGCTCATTTTTTAATCTATGAATGTAAAATTACTTTACTACTGTTTACTATGTGGATAGAGAAAGATGTCTTCATTTGGTTCCTTTATTATGTGATCACATATCCTGTACTCAAAAAGTCTTGAGGTAGAAAGCATTCTGCTTTTCTAAGGTTGGCAACGGTGGTTCCTTTACTTCTTTGTTCATTTTCAGCCTGTTCTGAGTTTTTGCAGTTTTGCTATGCCTGTGAAGTGGATTTTTTTTATGCTACTATCAAGTTTTACCTAAATGAAACATCAAAATGGATATGTGGCTTTTAAAGAGTCCTGAAAAGAAACCTCTGATTGAAGACTATTCTAAGTATAGTATAGTAAACTCAAGTGAGCCTCAGAAAATGGCTGTACTGATGTTTCTCCAATTCCTGGCACAACTTCATTGCCAGCCACATATTGAGGTAAAATCAATGAGGACAGAATTAGATCTGATTAGTCAATCACACTGTTTTGCTTAAAAAACAAAAACCAGCCAGGTGTGGTGGGGAACACCTGTAATCCCAGCGCTTAAGAGGCTGAGGCAGGAGCATGAGTTCAAGTCTAGCCTAGTCCAGGGTGAGTTCAAGGCAAGCCAGGACTACAAAGCAAGACCATGTCTCAAAAAGAAACAAAAACAAAGGGTTTTAAAAGATGTGTATGTAGTTTTATGTAGCAAAGTTAACAGTTTTATGTACTGTTCATAGATACATTAAAATTTAAACTTTTAAGTATTATTTCATTTTTATATATTTTAACATCTTTGTGTACAAAAATATATATATCAAGCAAAGAAATACTTGTATAAATATTTTAATACCAAATTTATTGAGACTTCATGAGATGAATACAAGTTACCTTTGGCCTTTACAATTATAAGAGGTGCTCAAAGTGGTGGCCATTAGCTTGAAGACATTTATTAGTACAGAAAATTACTGAAGTGTGTATACATTTTTTGGCAGTCTTTATCTTTCTCTTTCTCTATATCTATATCCTAAGTAAATAATCACATACTGTGCATGTACCTAATTTTTTTTTTACTTAAAGCGACATAAATTTAGAGACCTCTGTCATAGGCAATGGAGAGCTATATAAAGGTTTTAACAAAGTTAATTTTTTTTTTTTTTTTTTTTTGGTACCGGGGATTGAACTAGGGACCTTGTGCTTGCAATGCAGGTGGCAGCACCACAGAGTTAAATCCCCGGTCCAACAAAGTTAAATTTTATTTTCAAAAATCCCGGCTTCAGGTAAAGTATGACAGAAATGAGGCAAAGAAACCATGGTTTGTATCTAATTTCCTCAAATCATATATGTTAAATATGTGTATTTTTGTATGTCACTTATACCTCATAAAGCAGTTTAAAATAAATAGATAAAATACCGATCAGCTATAAAAGAAAGGAAGAAAAGCAAGAAAATAAACAAGCAAGAAAGACACCAGTGATTTTGGAGCATTATAAGGGTCTGAACTAAGTGTGTTAGTCTGGTAAGGCTCCCACAACAAAGTACGGGGTGGCTTTAAGCAACAGAAATTATTTTCTCACAGTTCTGAAGGCAAGAAGTCCAAGATTAGGGTGCCAGTAGGGTTTGCAGGTGGTTACCTCCTCACTGTGTACTCCCATGTGCTTTCCTTATGGGTGGGTGTGGAGAAAAGACAGAGCTAAAATTCCTTGGTATCTCTCTTTATAATGACACTAATCCTACTGCATCCAGATCTCACTTTTGTGACCTCATCTAACCTTAGTAACTTCCTTAGAGCCCTCATCTCCAAATATGTCACACTATGGGTTACTGCTGCAACATACAAATTTTGAAGGGAAACAAACATTCAGTCCATAACACTAAAACAATGAAAACATATATATCTAAATTATACACAAATGTGACTTTTAAAAATCTGGGAATCAAATGCAGGGCCTTTGCATTGAGCTATATCCCCAGCCTTTTAAAAATTTTATTTATTTTTGAGACAGGGTCTTGCTAAATCATGAAATACCCAGTCTGGGCTTGAACTTGAGATCCTCCTACCTCAGCCTTCCAGAATGTTAGGATTGCCCATATGAGCCACCACATTTGGTTGTGATTTATTATTATTATTATTATTATTATTATTATTATTATTTATTATTATTTATTATTATTTTGGTGCAAGGGATCAAACTCTGGGTCTTTTGCTTACAAGGCAGGTAGTGGCACCACTGAGCTAAATCCCAGCCCCTGGCTGTGATTTCTTAAAAAGCTGTGTGAGTTTTGGTAAGCTTCTATGAATGCAAAATATCTTGAATGTGAAAGATTTGCTGGGCTTTTAAAAGATCCTGGGGCATAGTGGCACATGCTTGTAATTCTGACTCTGAGAGGCTGAGGCAATAGGATCATGAGTTTAAGACCAGCTTGGCCAGTCTGGACTGCGAAAGGAGACCCTGCCTCAAAAAACAAATAGCAAGCAAACAAACAAAGCAGCAAAAAATGCCTCAGAGGTTTGAGAGAAGCTAATATGACAGTATGGCACACCTGGCATATATTCGGAATACAAGAAATGTTAGGCTCCTGCTTTTCTCTGCCTCCTGGTCTACATACAAAGGGCCACTGTGTCTCCTCCATGGTTTCTCCATCTGAGGTTCCAGGAGTGCTGGAAGAGCACCTAGGGACTTAATAGTATGGCATAAGATGTTTATTTAATTCCTCCATTTGAGCTCTCCTAGGGTATTTTACAAAGCTGTTGTCAGGATCAAAGGTGGAGAGGAGAGACAAGGATATCATGAACATGGCAGAGCAGGACCACTCACAGTAAGAGTTTCTGTCATCTGGGGGGATATTGAATGATGAGGACATTTGAATTGCCCTGTTTCCTGTGATCCTTACCATGTAGGTCCTTTAGAGACCCTTCTGTTTTCTGAGAGGCTATGATTGTGGATCAGAGAAGAAAACCTTCCCAGAGAAGTGTGGCTACGAGAGGAATCT